AAGTTGCTATGATTTTGTGGAGAACAGTAAGAATGTTGAAGAAAAGTAGCAGTTGTTCATTGTAACTTGATTTGTTCATCATTTTTCGTGAATTATCAGCCAACTCAAATAATGAAAGGACTTTTGCACTTTGCATCGTAATAGTTTTGTCATTCATCAGTACTTACATCATGATATTTTTCAATTTGCCGGAATATACCTTGAATTATAGTTCTGAGGTAGTACCTACTTCAGGTAGAACTGGTCATTCTTCCTCGTTCAATCATCAATGAGAACCCACCAGAACAGAAAAATCAGCAGCCTCCACCTCCACCACCTCCTCCACAAAATGAACAATCTGGGGAGGAGCAAAATGCAGAGGAAGAAAAAGAGGTTTGTTAACATTGATTAAAATTTAATCTTCTCATAGAAATCAGTGCAGAGGGATTCCTTTGTTTACAGAGGGAAAAACATCACATGTTTAACTATTCTGCAAACTTCCCGATGTAACCAGGATGAAAATGATGAAGAAAATGATGAAGAAAATGAACAAGAGCAGGACCAAATACCTGAAGAGTTTATCTTTGATGCAGAAAGGGGGTTTGGTGGATGAGAAGCTTCTCTTTTTTTGAACAACAAGCACAGAGACGCAAAGGGAAGGCTGGGAGAGCAAAGAATGTGATATTTTCAGAAGATAGTGGTCGATATATTAAACCAATGCTACCAAATGTTTAATCACCCCATCTTGTAGACTTTCAGAAGTTTAAAAAAAATTATGTTTGCTTTTTAAAAATGGGTGGTTGACATTTCTGAACAAGCTTTGTTTGTAAAAGGGCCCGATAAGGGGATTAGCTGTTGATGCAACTCTTAGAGCTGCTGCACCATATCAAAAGTTGCGTAGGGAAAAGAACACTCAAAGCAGTAGGAAAGTTTTTGTTGAAAGATCTGATATGAGGGCGAAGAGAATGGCACGAAAAGCAGGAGCACTGGTATTAACACCCTGGTTTAATTACATGCATTCATTCTCGCCGTCATGATGGCTGATGATGCAAAAGTGCTCTCACTATTTTTCATATAAGAATTTTTTAGCCCCAGTTGTGACATAGGTTGCCATGCTCATAGTCCATATAATTCGATAATCAGCTTTCCTTAGAATCTGAGGAACTTTGACCAATATAGTGACCCTTTTCTATTGACATCTTAAATTATTCATGTGCTCATGCAAATACTTAAAGTAGTTGAACGGTTTTCAATTTGCTTCATGGCAGGTTATATTTGTTGTTGATGCAAGTGGAAGCATGGCCTTGAATAGAATGCAGAATGCAAAAGGTGCAGCCCTCAAGTTACTAGCAGAAAGTTATACAAGCAGATATCAGGTGACAAAAAATTTCATTCTAAATTTAAAAGATGTGACTACCACTGGTTAAGTCTCAAGAAGATTTCTTCTGTCATTTTCTTGGCAAGAAAATGAGAAAAAACAAAGTAGAAGAGAAGCAGTATGCGCCAAGTAAATGGTGAAACGTAATTGTGTTGAATTAAATGTTTTATTCATTGACCCGGAAAAAAAATAAATTCAACTTAATAGGTGCGAAACATCGGTAATCAAATAACAGCAAGTTCGAAGTCATTTTAAGTGTCAAAGGAGAGTGTTTTTTCAGTATGGAATCATCAGATCCAAAGTGCAGAACATTCATAGGGCTGGTTATCAACTTGGTATATATTCGATTGGCTTGCATTATGGAAGATCTTAACAATGGTGGTAAAGAAACATAACTCAACCGGAAAGTAGAATTGAGAAGGGAAAAGTTATGATTGTTAAAAGAGCTGTTCGTATAAGAGCTTGTATTTATTTAGCATGGCATATGCACGTCACGGAAAGTAATACATTGAACAGTTATTTTTCACATGAAACTGAGCTGTTCTCTTCGCCTGCATGAACATATTCATCAAAATAAATGATAGACATGATACTCCGTAGGATATAGTACAAAACCATATTCTGGGGATTGCACTTCAGAAAGGACATACTGATTTCCATTTTTACTTCTGACATGTCATGAATCCTTCCCCAAATTTCTATAAGAATTTAATTAAGGGGATTAATGTGTGCTTCTGATCAGCAAACCATGGAAGAAGATCCTGGTGATTATTCTTGTAACAGTTTGACTGGTAATGTCGTTTAAGTTTCTATCATTCCTTTCCGGGGAGATTCAGCAGAAGTTCTTCTGCCTCCTTCTAGATCAATTTCAATGGCACGAAACCATCTTGAGAGACTTCCATGCGGAGGAGGTTCTCCCCTTGCTCATGGTCTGACCATGGTATGTTAGCTTCCCTCCTGAGTACTGGCATCTCCACCCCCACGTAACTGACTGTATTCTGAAATTTATACTGCTTAGCTGTTACGGTTGGAATAAATGCAGAGAAGAGTGGTGATGTTGGACGTAGCAATAACGGATGGTAGAGCCAATATCCCTCTAAAGAGATCCACTGACCCTGAAGCTGCTGCTGCTAATGACGTTCCAAAACCTTCGTCACAAGAGTTGAAGGTAAATCTTGAGTGCTGTTGTTGGCATATTAGTTGTAGCCTGGACCACCTGGTCTGAGATTGCATAAGACTTGGTTCCAAAAAATACGTTAGTATCTAAGGTTTTTATGCAAGACCCACGTATTTTTCAGACACTCTTATTTCTTATGTAGTTGCACATGTTACCCCTCGGCTTTTTTCTATTGCATTAACTTGTGGTATTTCTTACTGGTGCTTCTCAATGAAGGACGAGATTCTCGAGGTTGCTGGTAAAATCTACAAAGCAGGGATGTCTCTCCTCGTCATTGACACCGAAAATAAGTTTGTTTCAACTGGTTTTGCTAAGGAGATTGCCAGAGTTGCTCAAGGTTCGTTGTCCAACTTGTATCGTATATCGCCTGTTCTTCTTCATCTGTGAAGACTATCATAATCTCATCGTAACATTTGCCCTGCAGAAAAATATTACTACTTGCCGAATGCCTCAGATGCTGTAATCTCAGCTGCAACGAAGGACGCTTTATCGGCACTGAAAAGCACATGAAGCATTAGAAATTGTTGTTTATATTGTTCTATTCGGCTAATTTGACTCTGAGAACAGCTTAGTTTCCTGTAAAAGTATATTTCTTGAGTTTGGTGTCATTTGTTCTTTGATATGCAGCAAAGGATGAAAAAGATCACAAGAAAAACGAATTAAATTCACCTCAATGAGAGCAACTTTTGTAGCATGTACCTGCTGTCATGTAGCATCCCCTGCCAACCGTACAACGAATGTAGAGAAAAACTTACACATATCGTTATATGATTGGCAGGGAATGCCACAGTGGCGGTGTACTCATGTCATGAAAGTCTTACATCAGACAAAATAAAATCTCTATATAGTCACAATATTAGGACCCAATCAATTTTATTATTCTAAGGCAGTTATTACCTAAAGAATATTATTTTTTGACTTTATTATGCTTAATGAAAGTCATATGGATACAAAGAACTACATCGGTAGTGGATCATGTCAATTTTCAAGATGTAACATTGGAAAAAGAGAGGCAACTAATCTCTAAACATACTAAAGGTTTCATGTCAAGAAGTCGAAAACATGCATAAGAAGCTTGAAACAATTTGGCTTTAACAAGAAGGTGCCCATGTTGACAAGGTATGACGTACCTGCAAGCTCAAATACATGCCATCAACTTAAAAAAATAAAGTACTGTCCCAAACAACTCTAGAGAAATGTTCTTAATCTCCAACACAGTACACACACACTTTATCTCTGTAAGTTGTAAATACGAATGCTGGTTGGGCGGGATATCAAGTTGATCGCAAATCACCACTGGAGATCGTGTGTTTGTTGGTTGAAACTTGGTGACCTAAAAAGGAAAAAAACAAAATGTTGCGGCTCATTAGTGCCAAAGCTGAATATAATGCTATGACATCAACAACTAGTGAATTGATTTGGTTGAAAGCACTACTTAAATGATTTGGGGTTCAACACTTCACATCCTATGAAAATGTTCTGTGACAATCAAGCTGCTATGTACATTGCGGCTAATCCAATATTTCATGAGAGAATAAAGCACATTAAAGTGGATTGTCATTTTGTTAGAGCCAAAAAATATTCTCCAATATCATTAGAATGTCATTCATTTGAAGAAGTACGTAGTTGACGAACATATTAATCAAAGGCATCTCTTTCAAAATTATGTCCAAACTTGACTAGCACGACATCTTTGCTTTAGCTTGAGGGGGAATGTCGTAATAGCAATTTGAATTTGTGTAATGCTAGAAAGACCAAATTTTAAACTAAATTTTGTAAACCAACTGATGTAGTTGTTAGTGATTGGTTTATTTCTTAAGTGTTAATTAATGTGCTTATTTCTTATTGGTGACGCATCATTTAGTTTGCAAATTTGATTAACGTACTTATTTATTTCCACGAAGAGAAAGGAAACATTTTTGCTCACCATCATAAGTTATAGTGTATACTTATCATACACCTTATTATTTGCTATGTGTCCTTTCACTTAACCTTAGTTAATTTTGTTCAAAATTCAAAATGTAACATTTAATGTGAAAGTTAACTAGAGTTAGGTGAAAGGATATGTGGCAAATGGTTAGACGTATGATGAGCATTGACCATAGTTATGGTGTTGAGCAGAGACTTTTTCAAAAGTGAGACTCTCCATGCACTCTTCACCCCCTTATGTTTTTGGAATGATATTTTATAATATTGACATAAAAAATATGCCAAAACATAAAGTGGCGAAGAGTTATACTTTCGAGAGTCTCCTTGACATTTCTTTTCTATAAATTAATATGGAAACGTGGGATGTTATATATGTTGCTAGCCAAGTAGCTGGCGTTCATATACGTGCGAGACAATTTGAAAACATCAGCGGATGTTTATGTAATTTTAAAAGTCAGTACTTTGCAGCCTGATGATATTCTTTTGTTGTAAGTAGAGGTTTTAAGTTCGATATTCTCAGTTGTAGAAAAGCTAATCCCCGCGTACGACGTCGCATTACTTGTGGAGCTGCGCCATCCTGTTTGTTGTCTCTCCCGTTCCTCTGTTTCTTTCTCGATCGGAGACTGGCAAAACCTCTTCCCCTCCCTCTCCTTTTTGAAATCTCCAATTTTCCCGCCTTGTCTCCACTCAGTCTCCGACTCTCACAGAGTCGTCGTCCTCCTCAGTTTACAAGTAGCAGGGCGATTAGGGTTAGGGTTAGGGTTTTCACCTGGGGGAGGCCTCAGGGCTCAGCGATCGTACTCGTCATCGAAAGGAAGAGTTGGTCAGGGCTTCTGACAAATGTCAACCGTAGGATTTCCCCTCCGTTTTGTATTTCCAGATTACAGATTACTATTTCTTCTGTATTTTCATTTTTCTGAAATTTTGTTCGTTCACAGACAGAAGCGCTCTACTCCAAACTCTACGATAAGTACTCGAAAATCAAGGTGTTCTTTGCTCTTTCCCATTTCTTTTATATTTTATTTGTGCATTAATTTTTGCTTAATCAGTTAATTGTGTGTTACTGGCGTTCTAGGATTCATACATCAGAGCTCACTTAGTGGGATACGGCTTTGTTGTTGTTATAGTTAATTGTATGTTAAATTTGTCGAGAAAAAATTGAAGGTTAGGGAAATAGAAAGTAATTGTCTTTTTGTATTTCTGAATTTTGGGTGTATTGTAAATGTATTCGTAAGGACCTACGTGCCGCCAATACTCTGAATTAGATATTTCTATATAATCTAAACCCGTTGTGTTGGCCGTTTTTCCTAATCGGCGGTGGTTGTTATGCCATGGCAGACAAAGAAATGGTCGGAGTTGGAAGATATTGGTAAAGATCAAGAAGGAAAGTTCAAGCATTATGTATCTGGTATTTATTTCTCTGTCAGGATTTGTTTGAATATTGTATTTGAGCTCATTTCTCGCATTTTTTTTAGTAAAACATGATTTTTGTGGTAACTGTGACCGAGGCTCAGACTTGACTGCTTCTCTCTGACCCAACTTTGTTGTTTATTTTCTATTTTGCAGTTGCGGAGGAGTATATTCAACATTTGCGAAATGAAAATGAGAGGTTGTACTTGGAAGTTGGTGATCTGAGAAGTGAAGTTGCTTCTATTAGGCATGAAATTCTAAGTTCTGTTGGATCCATTGGAATTCCAATTAGTCAATTTTTACTACAACCTATGTAACGGGCTCTTGAAACATATATCAAATTGAATGCAGGTCCACCAAAGCTGAACAATGTACCGAGTACCAGAATCGTTTGTTGGAAGAGAACAGGAAAAGTAAGAGAACACTGTTCTGTTTAGTTATGGTGCTTTTAACGACTATCCATGTGGAAGTATCTGGATCCTGAGTTTCTTTCTTTATTCTAAATGAGATTTGTAGGAATTTTCTATTCACGTACACTATGGATTGTGATCTCAGTGAATTCCATATTTATTTTCTGATAGGAACTAAAATGTCAATTAATTTATACGTCTTCGGGAATTTAATGACTGATTTTGCATATGTTGTTACTAAAAGTTATATATAAAGATTTTTGTTATTTTTATCATTAAGCATGTGGAAATATTGTTCTGAAATTCTTGTTGTGGTTGCAACTTACGAATTAGTTCAGGTACGCTGCCATCACCTGGATGGATTTAAAGATCTCCTGTGACATCGTGAGAGTTCACCTGTCCCTTTTTTAGTTTCATGGATTTTAAGTCAGTGCATGTTTCAATAGGAATGAATATAATCACGATGGTCTTTATAAATCCCATAAAAATGAAGAGGATGTTGGACATCAAATGTGGAAGAAAGACAAATCACCTAAAAGAGAAACAAAATGGAAAATCTTTTTCGCTTGTGTGTAGGAGATCTTAAATTTGGAAGACCTTGGTTAATATGATAATGTGGATTCTGTGAAACATTCAGATTGACTGAGGCAATTGTTTGAATATATGTATATATATTTTCCATTGTTCCATGTGGGATAAATGTAACCTACCTTGTCCTCTTTTAGGGTATTTTATGAACATGCAAACTAGTAGGGGACTGGTTTCTGTATATTTTTGACACACGTACAACACGTAAAAAACATCTCATTTTTATCTTCATTCCACACCCCACCCACATACGCCCACACCCCACACCCCACCCCCCGGGCAGTAACAATCTTAACTAGCATTATTAAAAGAAATTCCTATGGCTACCTGCAGTTCAAGTTTTAACTAGGAACTATTCGTGCTAAAAGTATTCAAGTGCGATTAGCATGTGCTACCACTATGAACTTCTTTACTTTTCTCCGCTCAATCTGTGGTGGTAATCTAATACCTCTTTCTGTTTTTTGATGACTCAAATTTTTGACAGATGAAAAACTTTCTGAAGAAATAGAGAGGCTCCGAAAGCTGCAGCAGGAGGGAAATTTTAGCAGATCGAAAGGTAGCAACACAGACAATGGACTGTGTACACCTGCTAGTGGTCAAGTATCAGGAGAAGCAGGAAATCTCTCAAAGAGAAGAAGGACAAGTAAGCGTAGAAAGAATTCCCAGTCTGAGGCAGAGGATTTAGTTATGCCTTCTAGTGTGGCTCTTGTAACTGTTCAAGAGGTATTTCTGATAATCCTATAAGAAATATATTTGAGCAGAAACTTATTGGCTCCTCTTTCTTCTCTGACTAATGTAATCTTTCAGCCACAATGGTGTAGAACTATTGAAAGACCAGGTATGCATCTCCATTTCTGAAACTGAGGTTTCTGCTATGGTACTTGTTCACATGGTATTGGGTTATTTTATGTGTTGTATGTTGTTTCCAGGTTGTGCAAAACCAATTGGCCAAGTTAACTGCGTGTTTCAAGTGCTTGTTGAGTATATGGTGGATTTAAAGTTCTCGACTGTTAGTCAAGCTGAAGAAATATGCATCTCAGCTGTGCATCAATCAAGTGGTAATTCTTAGAATTCGAGCGGATTCTAACCTAATAACTTATGAACATCAATGTGTCACATTGTAGGTTTAATTTCTCAATTAAGTGGAAATTTTTGTCATTTGACACAATTACAGTTGAGTATCAGATGCAGGCTTGTAGATAAGGTCCATGTGTATGCTGCAAATTTTTGCATGGCCTCCTAAGCTCATATGAAATTATGCAAAATATATCGGAAAAAATTGAAACGTCAGACATTCAAGGCAAGCACTAAAATTGCAATCCATTTCTGACATGCTGAGCTAGCTAATACATTTGCCCAAATTACTGAATTGAACAACAGGTCAATGCTAGGCTGGAGTCGGACCTACACTATCAAAATTACAGCCCTGTGGTGTTTGCATCCCATTAATTTCGGTTTTGCAGGAGTTTGTTTAAATTTTGAATACTTCTGTTTACATTTCTGTTTCTGAGCTTGAAACTCTAGGGTTTGACAACTTAATCCACTGAATGTGGCCTTGGCTCTATATGTCAATACTCGGCTTGAGACATGATTACAAGGAAATTACTAATACTTATTCAATTGTTAGGACTTTCAGAACAGAATCCCATTTTTTGCTAATATCTGTATCAACTAATATGGATTTCATGCGTCTTATGAATTAGATAATTATCTGTGGTTGTAACAGGTTACGCCTTCAATCTTACATGGATCAACAGAGCTGCTGGTAACGAAGTAGAACTTCTGTATCGCACCGCATCCTTGGGGACGCTTGAGAGGGAAGCACCAGAATGGATGAAGGATGACATAGTTTTAAGCACAAACATGTGCCCTATCTTCTTTGAAAGGTTATCTCGTGTTGTCAAGCTGCACTCCTAGTCCCCCTGCCCCTCATATTCATCTTTTTAAGGATCATTGTAGGTTATGTATACTGAAAATTCTCCCTCTGTTTGTTTTTTTCTGTGTGAACGGTTGAAATTTAACTAAGTCTCACACCAGATATTGATAACACGATCCTTTGCATTTGAATTGAAATTAAGAACATTTTATTTGAGAAACGGTCAAACCGCATGAGCCAACACTAGCAGTGCTACCTCACTAATGCTCTTGTCAAACCTGTTGAAGCCAAACTCCAAGTCGTCATGAGGCTCTTCCACGTACAGAGAAGTGCCGGCAATAGCACAGGTTCAAGACCCTCCGCAACTACAATCTTGATGAACCGTGCGGGCCTTCATTACACTACGATCTTGATATTCTGTTCCCTTCATACGAAGTTCATTCCCTGGTCTTGGCGTCATCAAAGCTCGAATTGAAGGAAGGATAGGTCCCTGCACTTGACTTTATCTCTGTAAGCAAGCTCCTTAGACATAGTTTTTCCCGTCCACTTGGTGTATCACGGCACCAGAGAGTTTGTCCACCTTATTCAGTGCAACAATGAGGTATTCCTCGTTTTCAAAAGATTATGCGACTCTATTGTTTGAGGTTATAAGCCATCCATAATGCCAACAACCAAAACTGCAAAATCACATAAATCTGAACCCCGTGAGTTGATATTAGCGAATGGCTTTTATGCCCCGGGATGTCAATGACCAATAGACCTGGGACCTGGGACCTTCACACAATTCTTTACTTCTTTCGCAGATGTTCCCGGCAGGAATATCAAAATGCTGCCTCATGAAAACTTTGATAGACCATTTGTTGGCCTGGCCTATCATAGTTTTCATGAATGAGATTATTATCAAAAGAATAATAACTTTTATCGTAGCCATAAGTTGGCCTTACTTCTTTCGCAGATGTTCCCGGCAGGAATATCAAAATGCTACCTCATGAAAACTTTGATAGACCATTTGTTGGCCTGGCCTATCATAGTTTTCATGAATGAGATTATTATCAAAAGAATAATAACTTTTATCGTAGCCATAAGTTGGCCAATCCTAAAGATTATTATTATTTAGTTGATAGCCATTAGTTGGCCAACAATCATATTCCATGGGACTTGAGAACCCTCCAGCCTTGTACCAATAAGTTGGCAGCTCATAGGTTGGCTCCATGTGATTTTCATCATAGCCGTAGCTTGGGCGTTCTTCAACACCGTCATCCTCTTCATAATCTAGAATGTAGTGGTCGAAAGCATGTTGAGGAAAACCATGAACATAAAGATTGTTCATGATCTAACTCCACACAAGGATCCCACCGAGCGTGCCAATTTGTTTGCCCCCTAAATTGGCCATGGGCGCGGCAGTGGGCATGCCGAGGATTTACTCGAACAAGAGATTGGTGATTGCGAGCGTGCCACTACTAGTTGCTACTAGTAGACGGGATTTGAATGATTGAGATTGCGTTTGAATTCGACTTCTAACCAAGAGATTGCGCCATTGAGTGAGAGTGGCTCAAATCAAGGTTCTTTCTTTGCCTTAATGATAAGGATTTTACTTATGTGGAGAAATATAACAATATGTAAATGACAAGTTTGCTGGAAGTGTAGATGACAGAGGAAAGTAAAGAAAGTAAGTGCAAGTGCATTGGAGATGTAAATACTATATGTGAAATGAGTAAATGCAATGGCAACAGAAATGTAAATGAGAATACAAGGAAATCGATACTGCTCGGAAGAATAGTAGAGTTTTAAAAGAAAATACAAGGTTTTTGCAGAATTGAATTATTAAAAAGGGTGCATAGCTTGAATTGAGTTGAATTGTTTGATTGATTGGTTGAGTCTCGAGTCCTTTGCCTCTGTTTCCTTTATATAGAGAACTGAGAGAGAGAGAGAGAGAGAGAGAGAGAGAGAGAGAGAGAGAGAGAGAGAGAGAGAGAGAGAGAGAGAGAGAGAGAGAGAGAGAGAGAGAGAGAGAGAGAGAGCTCCTTTGCTAAGGATATCGAATCTGTGCAAAGAAGTTCCATAGCCAACTCCCCTTGCAAGAATAGGGAAAGATGCCAACTTGCATATGAAATAATAATAAAAGAAGCAAGTTGAATTTTCACCACATGTGTATTAATCTCACTTGCAATGAATTAATATTTAAAAGAAGCAAGTTGGTTTTTCATCACATCTCTATCTCCTAAGCTTGCCAATATCCTTACTTACAATAAAGTTATTTCAGACGTTTACCCACGTAAAAACTTTTAGTCTATTTTCACACTAATCCCCAATATGTCATATTTTGGCTTTAAATCCAAATAAGTAAAATTATGCATATTTTAGGTGCAAACAACTGCTTTTCCTGTTCCTTTTGGTGACGTTTGACCTCCTCTTTCCTCTCGAGTTGCTCCTTCCTTAGCCTCTCCTCCTCTTCTTTCCTCTGTCTCTCTTTTTGCTCCTTTTTCATCCTCTCTTCCTCCTCCTTCCGCCGAGCAAAGGCCTTTTGCTCCTCTCTCACATACTTTGGAACTTTCTTGTCCGCGGCCGCTTTACCATCACCTACTGATGTTGCTTTGTTCTCCTTCACCATATCCTTCTTCTTTCTCTTCTTCTTTGCAGCAACAGACTGCATACTAAGATCTTGAGGAACTTGTTTGTCACCTTCTTTTTCACCCGGACCGGCGATTAGGGCAACTGTATCAAGTTTTCAACTCATGGTAACTTGAGACTTAGCTAGGGTTGGCAACCGTTCGGTTCGGAGATAGAAATGTCATTTCATCTCCATAATCACGGAAATTAATCATATTCATAATTGCAAATTAACCATCAGAGATTATCCATAACCATACCATCGAATAGCAGATTTTTCATAGTTTAATGGTTATATCCATCTTCGTCAATACAAAACAAGTATTTGTTCAACTAACACAAGATACTAATTCTGTCATTAAATATCCACATAAAAAACATAACAAGACTTTCTGGAAGTGTTCATGATAAGCCAAATATGATAGCAAAGTAAGGCAAATTTGTCCATGCAAAAAGGAGAGGGACGACAAAAGCCAAAAGCAAATACAACAACCACTTCGGAAGAAAAACAAAACAAATTATCAAATAATTTCAATACTTATGAATATTATATTATATGTAGTATATATTATTCGGGGTGCATTCGGTGACGAATATAAATCGAGAACCCTATAACCATATCCAAAGCCATAACTGAATAATATTTACAGTTTTTTCTCATATTCGGCAAAATTCCTGAATTTCAAGGCTCAAACAAAGTCATTCTCCACAGGGTTTGAATTTGTATTTAAAATCAACTCTTAATTAATTATTTAAAACAAAGTTTGGAAAATGTTGATTTTGGAAAATATTTCAAAATAATAAAAACGAATTTAATAAAAACAATTTAAAAGATTCGACAAATGGAAAATCTAATTAAGAGAAAACGGTTTTGAAAATCAATTTAAAAAGACACTAGGGTTCTTGCGGTCACCATTAACAATTGTCCGCAATTATACTATCATTCACTACCCACAAGAAAAGCCACAACATCAAGAGCAACTTCCATAGCACAACTACACCAATAACGCGATATCCCGGTAACCATATCTGAAGCCATAATTGAATAATATTTACTGTTTCTTCCCATATCCGAAAAAACTTAATCACTTGCTCAGGTGGCAAAAGTGGGATTTTATATGAAAAAAGGTTTGGAAGTGTTATTAAAAATGAAATCATGTAGTTATAACTTGTAAGTTGTTTTGTCAAACTCCCGATGTAGGATTTCCAACAATATGAAAAACACGAACAATTTTGAACTCTGAGTTTTGATGACAATTGGCTAAATACTCTTCGGGAAAACAATAGAGAGAAACACAAGAACACAATCCAATCCGATCAGATCCAATCCGATCCGATCCAATCCAATCCAAGTTAGAGAGGCTTGGTATCTATAATAATCACTCAACCCCCCCTAATCTAACACAACTTCGTCGCCATCGTCCCGATTATCAAGCCTTTGGAGCTTTGTACAACTTCTCCACCATCTTCCTATATTCTGCAAAACACACACAGAGAGGAAGCATTACTCAGTCACACATTTCTCATAGTAACAATTCATTTTCCAAAAATTAGTAAAATAAATAATAAGTAAAAGCGAAGTCAATTCAAATGTGTCGTTACCTTCTTGGTTGCTCCACAATTGTGCTGCTTGGGCATTCAAAGGAGAGCTGATGTTTGGTTCTGCAATTCACATAAACAAAAATTGAAATTCAATACGCACTCCACATTCGTTTCAATTCAGCGTTTATTCAATTCGATAAGTAAAAGTGTTAGAGAAAAGTGATTACCTCCAAGAAGACTTTGGATGGATAAGAGTACGGTTCTCACATCATAAGCAGATGACCATTTATCCTGCAATCAATTCATTGAGATACATTGGTCAAATGATATCGTGCTTGGTTTCTGAATGATATTATAACTGAGAAAGTGCGAGACTAGTACAAGTTTGGAGAAGTTACCTGTAGAATATCCAGGCAAATGTTGCCGACAAGATCGACATTGGGGTGAAAGAGGACAGTCTCAAACTTGACCTTTGGGGGTTTGAATGGATAGTCATTGGGAAAGGTGAGGGAGAGTCTGTATTCTGTGCCTTCAAACACTGTCTCTTTGCTTCCAATGATTGTCCCTTTCCAGCAGAAAATGTTGTCTTCCTCGGGGAATGCGGATATCCCAGAATCCCCACTCATCTACAATAATCCAATCCAATTCAATCAATCCAATCCAATCCAATCCAATGTTAATTAAACAAACATCAAGATTCTCAGAATTCAAACAGAAAATAAGGAGAAAAGATTGGGTCTTTGGTGTCTTACCATTAAGGCCATCAACTCAGATTGCAGCCTGTTTAATTAAACAACAATAAAATGTTAGATTAAAAAAAACTTGAAACCTCCAATTATCAATACAAATTCAGTGAATTTAAATCCTAATCTCTTCCAATCATCAAAAGAAATAAAATAAATTTCATGAATCTCAGAGGAAATAAATCAAATACCTGATGTGCAAAAGAAAATCCCCAGAAAAAAAAAAAACCAGTTTTCTTTGAATTAGAAGAATACAGAAAATCAAGAAAATAAATCCAACCAAATACCAAAGAAATAACATTTGTTCTTACCGGTAGATTAGGATGAAGATGTACCTTTTGAGAACGGACTGAGAATCAAGGGTCTTGGTGCGAGGCCGAGATTGCTTTGAGTTCGAGGGAGCAGTGGCTCCGGCCACTACTAGACTGTTATCTTGGTTCACAGCAGCCATAATCCTAATTCTTTTTCTCTTCCTTACCGAAAACAGAGATCAACGGATCCTCAAAACCCAACGCTTTTCTGAGAGAGAGAGAGGGAGAGGTTGATAGAGGGGGGCTTTCCTTCCTTCCTTCCTTCCCTCTTCTGAATGACAAGAGAGAGAGAGAGAGAGAGAGAGAGAGAGAGAGAGAGAGAGAGAGAGAGAGAGAGTATAAGATGTAGATGGGGCTGCAGAGATTGGTTTAAAACGCTGTTGGGATGGGACTCGGACAGAGCGGTGTAAGGTATTCAAAAATTGTCGAACGTTGCAATTGCCACTGGTGTCTTATTTAAATTTTTCTTCAACGGCTAGTTATTTGGTTTTCCTAAAATGGAGCCACCTTTTTACTTTTTTTTTTTTTTTGTTTTGTAAAATTGAGAATATGTATGTAGTGAAATATAAAGAAGTAATAAGACACAATATTTACGCAGATGACCAACCATCTTTTCTTCATTTAACTTAACAAACCCACCAAACCACTTTCTTGACAATGTTGTATACACATCAATGTAAATGTTTAACATCTGTTGTTATTAATTAGGACTATAGTGTAGGATTAAAAACCTATATGAATTTGAAAGAAAATAAAATTAGGCGACTGAAGGCGGCAGCGCTGCAAGTGGTGATCAAGGTTGGGTAACTTGGAAGAGCATCTGCAATGCTAGCAATGTGATTACAATGGGCTCTCGATGGCGGATTGGGTGTGGCGAGACGGTTAACATTTGGGGAGACAGATGGCTGCGTTCCCTCTTCACGGATATACAAGTTATTGCATTCTCTCCCTCCCGCTGAGCTTTAGAAAACCTGAGGATAGGCCAAATGTGTTTGGTTGGCTTCCCCTATTGGCCACCCGCCCTCTTCATCCAGTCTTCAATCGATGCTGGAGTGGGTCTCCAATTGGACCACTCAGCTAAACCCCTCTCAGTGTGTTTTGTTGCAGCTACTGCTAGAAAATTTGATTATGTTTTTCTCCCCTGCCCGTGCGGGTTTGCTCTTGGTGACACAGAGGAGATTTCAAAATATTATCCTTGAAAGCGACTCACTCCAGATTGTGACGGCTCTTTGAAATTCTTCTTATTATTTGCCCGATGTTGGACTTATTATTAAAGATTCTAGAGAGCTTTTGTCCTCAATCACTGGAGCTTTTCCTACCCATGTTCATCAAAAAAAAAAAAAAAAAAAAAAAAAAAAAAGTTGGAAGGTTGCGAGTCTTGCGATTTGGCCGGGCTCGGAGTTCTTAAATTTAATTTGGGGATATTGGTAAAGGCAAGGCTTCTCGAGTATCTATTGAGGTAACAACTTCTCCACCATACCTGCCCAGACAGTTGGATCCGCCCGGCGTAGTATACCAAACGTAGGGGTTTTGCAATTTTTATAACTTGGGCGCCAAGTATCAATTTTCCTATTCCTAGTTGGAAACAATTATAAAACTTCTATGAGAACTCAGATGGAAGTTACCCGTGATAGTATACCTGAACACACAGGGACCGTCTTCGCTCCCTTCATCCGATCGCCGCTTCCTGACATTTTTTCAAGCAGCATATCAAAGTTTATGGGTCAAGAAGCAGAGCAGAAAATAGAGCCAACGTTAATTCGAGCAAATACTATGGCGATCAAGATTCTCAATCGTATAGAAGTAACCATAATCGAACAAATCACATGTATAAAACCATGTAACGTAGTCATTATGATTAACAGGAATCTAAATCTCAAATACCATGTGAAATCAACAAGTAACTGGCGTCTAAGCTTCTAAGGTGTCGCGCAAAATTTTTACCACCACCGCCTGCTCTCAATTTGTAAACCCAGATTATTTCTTCGAGTTAAAACTATCAGATTGGCAGGGTTTACATATATGAAGAAAAAGTAAATACAAGCTCGATTGGAGGCACAAAACTCCTATGGCTTCGATGATGTGAGCTGCCTCAAATTGTACTTTGCTAACTGCTTGTACTTGTCAACAACACCGATCATGCAAATAGTCTGTCAATCAAAAAAGAATGAGATTTTAAGCTATAAAGGAATCAACAGTTCAAACACAAGTATCTTTTTACGACAATTCTTCTTTTGAATGGTGGTGTGACGAAAGAGAAATTGGAGCATGAGGAAAGGAAACTTTCGTACCCTGCAAATTTCAACAACAATGGTCTTATCGGGATTGTTGAGGTCAACTTTGTGAGGTGCAGGCACAGATTTTGCCACTGCATTTATGATTTTCATCCTGTCTATACCGGTATTTGCACGGGCTTCATACAGGACCGCAAACTGAATGGAAGATTTAGTAAAATCAGAAACCATCTCGAGATATCTAATAGTTTGAAGTTTTGTTTATTCTCAACTCAAACAACTTGTAACCTCATAAATATAGGTTTATGTCAAAAATAAAGAAAAGCTCATCAGATTTATTTCCTGTTCATTAATAGAGATAGCTATTCCATCACAGAACGCCTTGTGTCTTATCGTGAACGATGGCAGTCAAAACAGAATTAAAAAAAAAATCAGTTTGTAATGATAAGAGAGATGTGGATTTCTTTTTGTTAATAAGAACAAAAGGCAGACGAGGATTAGTGGCATATCTTACCTTCTGAGGATTCGGAGTTTCCACTGGAAAGTGCTGTTCAAGAAGTGGTTTGATTGCTCTTGAAATTTCCTCTTCTGAAGAATAGCATGCTACTTCAATGGGTAATACTCTTAAGATAAACCTATAATATGCAAGTAAGAACAGCCAGTTTGAGATCTCTCTTCCATACTCATTCTTTGTAAAAATAACCTAACATGTAATATATGAACCTTGACATGTGTTTCTTTGTTGCAGCTGCAGATGTCATCATATGCTGCACAATTGAGCTAGGGCTAGGATCTCCCTCTCTTTTCCGCATTTGAACAAAGACGACACCGTTGCAACCCGATTCAAGGGTGAAAAAGCGTCTCTATAAATTAATCCAACATCAGCATGAGAAATCATTTCCTCAAAATTGATTGCAAAAGTTAAAAGGATTATAAAGCGCACACACCATGATATCTGAAGAGATACGCTAAGAAAAATTAATGAAAACCCATCTGCAACTAACTTAAAACAGGCTAGAAAAAGATTATTCCGCATTCAAAACCACCGGGAAATGAAGGAAGAGATGGTCATGCTAACTAAAGATAATGAACAATTAAAATTCCGTATGCTAAAGTTACTACTAAAAAACATGAGGGACATGGGAAGAAAACTGGGATTGTAAGACAGGGTTGGGACCGAACATTACTCCTTAGACATTCAATTCAATTAATTAAGAACGTGTTTGTGCCCTTTAAAAGAACCAAACCTTAAGTGAGAAATTTCCAGTATCCATTCATAAACCTACGAAATGAAGGAGGAGATGGTCATACTAGTTAAAGCTAGTCAAAATTCAGTATGGTAATGCTAGTACGAAAAACAAAAATAGGCATCACTGGATGAAACTAAGGCAAGCACAAGAAGGTAAAAACACAATCTAAATTAGAAACCTAAACACGAAAATAGGGTAGTGCAAGACATACGACTTGCAGAAAACAAATAGATGCGTAAACAATTAAATAGCAAGGGCATTATATACAATATACTCATCTATTTTTAAACTATTAAAAAAAATACGGAACATGCAAATGTAATGCAAACGAGATGACTACTAAACAAAATGATTCATAGCCATATCAACTGCAAGCTTATTTAATCTTAAGCCTGCATTAGAGGTGTGACGCAGAAAAATAAAAAACTCTGAAGGAGCAGAGCTTGCTAGCTAAATTTGTTATTCAGACAAAATGAGGTTCAGCATCCACAATTTCACATAATCTTCTCTTAGACAATGTACCCAAACAATCTTGATAAATAAAAGGGAAAGAATGTGACACACACAAGTGTGTACAATCAACTTATATATTATCATATCATAGAAGTTCACCTTGTTCTTATCTCCCAGTTCTTGAAGCTCAGCTTCAATTAGCTTATCGATGGACTTCTCTTCCACTTTGTATGGGATTGCAAATTTTGATGAATCTGTTCCTAGACATTGTTTCTTTGCTGGTGGCTCCTCAGCTTCATTTGCACAAGTTTCCCTACTTATATTATCCTCTTTCTCGTCTTCAGTGTTTTCCTCAGTTTTATTTTCGTCACACGCATCATCCTTCTTCTGGTGTTCTGATTTCTCACTTGTTGCATTATCATGACTGGCATCATCACTACGAGAATCACCTTTACTCTCTTCACCCACTTCGCCCTCTTCTTCTGCTTCCTTGTCCTCTCCTTCTTGTTTCTTTTCATCGTCATCATCGTCATCACCCTCACCACTGGAAGAATCAGAATATGAGAACACTATTTTCTTATTTGAAGGTTTACAGGGTGCCTCAGAAAGCTTCAATCCCAAACCCTTTCCACTGACTAGCTCTTCATAAAACTGCAATACAAACCAAAACAACCTAAGACATCAGTTTCTCACCTAAAACAGCCAAGAGATAAATAAACAGTCCATAACATCATCTCATAAGTTTAAGAGCACTCAGCGTTTTGATTTTATGCGAAAGAAGAACAAAAAGCAGAAACTAAGATACATTTCTCCATATGTTATGAGTTCTCTTAAAAGAAGATACATATACACACAAACCAAGACGTATGAAAATTGTAATCTTATTTATTTATCTGCACCAATACGTATGCAAAGAGTTTTCTATGGCCCTTAACTTTTAATTCTTCAAACTTGGTGGTGCACATTTAAAGATGAAAACAAAATTAATAGGGGGGAACCAATGGATTTTAAACGATATCCTCTTGGCCTTGTCACTATCAGTTCCCCATATTCAGTTTGCACTCTTACTTCTCCCAAAGGGATGAACTGGGATAGTCCATGAGTGGATGTGGAGATACTACTCCAGGAACCACCGCAAATCTTGCGGCTATGTGGAAGAACGGTTCATTACATGGTATTAATATTATTATTCACCCTTTGGCAATCAAAATGAAACACAGATAATAATAGGCCTCTAAGAAGCAGTTTAAAAAGACGGTTACGCCGAAGTCAGGCCAATCTATGTACAATCACAATTAAGTAAGACGAGAAATCCAAC